TGTGTACATTTGAATAACTGGTCTTCCCTGTAAGTGCATGGATATTATCCTATCACAGATAGTGTACCTCATGACTGATCTGGATATGTTCTTTTTGACAAGGAATGCAACAACATTCCTCTTCAATTTGTCATTCCGGCATAGTAAATCATGTGGTTGTCAGATTCAAAATCAGCTCACTAATGCTTAAGATATTGATGTTTATGCATTGCTTTTCATTTTTTACAACGTCCAATTTTCCCAGATTCATACTTCATACATTCCATGTTCCAATTTTCAATGGATGTTTACAGCTGTCTCTGTTCATTTTGAGTTGTTCCCCATCAACAAATGAAGGTCCTGTGGGTTTTCTCCCACAGGCTTTACTCCATTCGTGCCATCATGGTCATCTTTACTTTAAGGAGGCAGCTCTTCCCCAGTTGCATTTTGAGTGCCTTCCAACCTGAGGGGCTCATTTTCCTGCACTCTATCTGACAGTGTTTCTCTGCTATTCATTAGGTTTTCAGTGACTAAATATTCAGAACTAGTTCGTCACTCTTTCCTCCTAGTCTGTCTTCATCTGGAAGCTCATCTTAAACCTGTCCACCATGGGTGACCCTGCCGGTATTTAAAATACCAGTGGCATAGCTTTCAGAATCACAGCAACTCACAAGCCACCACAGTATGACAGATTGACAGACGCGTGGTGGAGAAACTATGTTGGGGATCCCATAGTAGAATTTTGCAATGATTTATTAATTGCAGTACACCCTTTTTCAGCAACAAATTGCAATTATTGTCATGGACCTTGCCAGGAATCAAAGAGCCTATACTGTGGAAAGAGATGATGGAGAAGTTCAATGTCATCCATCAGACCTGCAGAACAGACCGTCATCTGTTCATGTGCAAGTTCAAAGTGAAAATGATGAAAATTAAATTTGGTCCACAAGAACCAAAATACAACCTTGAGTTTATCCCATCTGAGTTTAGAGACTATTTCAAGAATGGATTTGAGTAAGCTCGCTGGTGACTGCGTTGGGCTACTTGTGAGTGGAAATGGGGGAAAGGTGACAATGATGACATGGGTTGAGTTTGACCATGTTCCATAGACTCCTGTTGACCTTGAGGGTAGAGAGAGAAGAGGAAGGGCTGGTTGGTCCAAAGTTTAGGGAGACTTGGGAACTCCTGAGCCCATGGACCTAGTCATTGAGGGCTAGACCTGAGAGTGAAGTGTCCAGCTGATATGAAGTGGGGGGAGGAGCCCATTTGACCTAGGATGGATTGATGATCAGAACTTGATTAGAGGAAGATAAAGAAGTTTAATACAAGAAGCAAGTGTAAAGTGCTACAATTTGATGAACTTGGTCTTTACTTCAAGGAAGAAGTCCAAGCTGCTTTGAAGGCAAAAACCACAGGCTCCAGGAACTGACAGAATACCAACTCACATATTTCAACAAATAAATAAAATGCTGGAGTGCTAACTTGTATATACCAAGAAATTATAAAGGCAGTTACCTAGCCAACTGACTGGAAGAGAGCTATATTAGTGCCCATTCCAAAGAAAGTAATCTAACAGAATGTGGAAATTATTGAACAATATCATTAATATCGCATCCAAGAAAAATTTTCTGAAGATAATTAAGAAATGGTTGCAGCAGTACATCAACAGGAAACTACCAGAAATTCAAGCTGGGTTCAGAAGAGAAGATGGAACAAGGGATATCATTGCTGATATCAGATGGATTGTACTGAAAGTAGTGAACACCTGAAAGACATGTTTTATTGACTACGCAAAGACATTGAACTGACTGTATGGATCAGACAAATTATGGATATGCAAATAATGGGAATTTCAGAACACTTAATTGTGCTTATGCAGAGCTTGGTATAGATCAAGAGGCAGTTGTTGGAAGAGAGCAAGGGGATCCTTTGTGGTTTAAAACCAGGAAAGGTGTGTGTTAAGGTTGTTTCCTTTCATCATAATTATTCAATCTGTAAGCTGATTAAATAATTTGAGAATCTGGATTATATGAAGAACATAGCATCAGGGTTGGAGGAAGACTCATTAACAGTCTGTAATATATAGATGGCACAATCTTACTTGCTGAAAAAGATTAAAGACAACAGTCTTCAATATGGATTACATTTCATAAAGAAAATAGAAATCCTTACGACTGGATCAATAAGTAACATGATAAAAGGAGAAAAGATTGAAGTTGTCAAAGATTTTATTTTAGTTGGTTCCACAATCAATGCCTATGGAAGCTTGTTGTTGTTGTTAAGTGCCGTCGAGTCGGTGGAAGCAGTAGTCAAGAAATCAAACAATGTATTGCTTTAGGCAAATTTGCTGCATAAGACCTCTTTAAAGTGTTAAAAAAGGAAAGATGTCACTTTGAAGAAAAAAGTGCACCAGACCCAAGTCACGGTATATGACCCAAGTCACCTCATATGCATGTAGAAGCTGGACAACGAATAGGGAAGACAGGAGAAGAATGAAGCATTTGAATTATGGTGTTGGCGTATTATGTTGAATAGTTCATGCGCTGTCAGAAGAATGAACTTAGAATTCTGTCTTAGAATTATAGCCAGAATGCTTGTTAGGTGTGAGGATGCGAGACTTTTTCTTACATACTTTAGACATATTATCAGGACTTTTCGCTGGAGAAGAACATCATGCTTGGTAAAGTAGAGGGTCAGTGAAAAAGAGGAAGATCCTCAATTGAGGCAGATTGACACAGTGGGTGCAACAGTGTGCTCAAACACAGGCAGGACCAGACAGCGTCTCATTCTGTTGTACGTGGGTCGCTATGAGTCCGAACCAATGGCACCTAACAACAATATCAACAATCTTTACAGGAGAAGATCTCCAAGTCTTTGAAACTCTTCCCAATATTCATCTCCAACCTCCCACCCAGTGGTCTCCTTCTCTGACATTCTAAGCCACTGGGTAGGATGGAACCTCCAACCTTCCAGTTAGCAGCTGAGGGCTTAACTGTTGGGACACCTTGTTTTAATCTTACTCTGACATTATTCTCAACTACTTAAGAGCCTTTCATTTTATTGTTTCTTTTTCCAATTCATCCTCATCTCTTCTCCAAGATATTTATAATAATAGTTGTTGTTCTCAAGTGCCATTGAGTCAGTTCCAACCCATAGCGACCCTGTGTAGGGTTTCTGAGGAGCAGCTGGTGAGCTTGAACCACTAACCTTGAGGATCAAACCGCTTTTGCAGTCCAGCACGTTAACCCACAGTGCCACACCAGGCCTCCTTTAACAGGAGAGATGAACATATATCTTGACAAGTGGAAGGATTCCAAGAGAAGAACTGTTCCTATAACCTAGGCAATTATTTGAGGAACATGGTAGCTCTGTATGACAAGCACTGGACTGCTAACCACAAGGCTAGTGGTTCGAGCCCACCAGCCACTCCGCAAAAGAAAGATGAGGCTTTCTGCTTCTGTAAAGATTTACAGCGTCCCTCTGAGTTGAAACCCACCTGATGTCATTTAACAACAGGCAATTATTTAACAATGTATTTACCAGTTAGACCAAGTTTCTTTGTGAGAATATCCCATTCTTTCCTCACTTCCTCCATCCCACCCTTTATGTTGTCTGGGGATGTTGCTGTCCCTGCTTGGTCCCCTCTTTCTCTGGTCACATACAGATACATTGGGAATTGACTCAACAGCATGTAACAACAGTAGTTTGGATCTTCAGTAGCACCAACATTAAGCACTGGACTGCTAGCTAACTCAAAGGTTGGTGGTTCAAATTCAACATTGACTCCATGGGAAAAACAGACCTGGAAATCTTTTACGTCAAGATTTACAGACAAGGAAACCCTATGGGCAGTTCTACTCCATAACACACGGGGTTGCTGTGAGTCAGAATCAACTGGACATCACACAACAACACTAGTTTAGGAGCTCTGGTAGCATAGTGGTTACGAATCGGGCTGTGAACCGCAACATCAGCAGTTCGAAACTACCAGCTGTTCTGCGGGAAAAAGATGAGGCTTTCTGCTCCCGTAAAGATTTACAGCCTCGGAAACCCTGTACAGGGTCATTATGAGTCGGAACCGACTCACGGCACATAACCAACCAACCAACACCAGTTCTTATTTACTTGTATTTCTTGAATCGAATATGACTCTTCATTCTACACTTACTATATGCAGATGTTTTCTAGTGTAGTACCACCCAAACATTTGCATACAATACATATTTTGTTGTAAATTTTTTCCTTGTTCTTTTACCTTCTGTTGTTGTTGGGGGCCACAAAGTTGATTCTGATTTATAGGGACCCCATGTAACAGAGTAGAACTGGCATATGGTTTTCTTCTCTGTTATCTCTACAGAAGAAGGCCTGGCGGTGCAGTGGGCTAAATGTTTTGGCTGCTACTTGAAAGATCAGTGGTTCAAATCCACCAACCTCCAATGGAGAAAGATGAGGCTGTTTTCTTCAGTAAAGATATACAGACTCAGAAACCCGCTTCTACTCTAGCCTATAGGTAGCTCTGAGTTGGAATTAACTCAAGGACAAAGGGGTTGTTGTTGTTAAGTGTTGTCAAGTTGGTTCTAACCCATAGTGGCCTTGTATAATGTTTCTGAGAAGCGGCTTGTGAGTTTGAACGGCCAACATTGCGATTCAAAGTGACCTTGTGGTTCAGTGCTTATCCTACAGCGCCACACCAGGACTCCTTTACAGGAGCAGATGAGCAGGTTTTTCAACTGCAGAGCAACTGAGTTTCATTTCAGGAGGCTTGGTAAAGGAGGCACAGCATACTTGTATAAAAAGGGGTAGGGAGTCTACAGGCTGAGGACCAGCCACATGGGTTAGGGCACAGGTTCCGTGATGAGGCCCTCCAGCTTCCCGATTGGGCCCTGGATTGGCAGAAAGTGTGGTACTGACCTGGAAAAGCAGCACCAGTGTGAGGCCAAGGCAGGCAGAGCCGCAAATACCGTAGCCGGTCAGCAGGAGGCACCGCCGTCCCCGCAGCTCCACCAAAACAGCCTGCAGGGGAGGGCCGGGTGAGGAGCCGTGCAGGCCCAGGGACTCTGGGACCTGCCAGCTGGGCCCCTGTGTCCCATCCCTCCTTCCACAGCTCCTCAAACATCCCTTTCGTAGCCCTGCTACCTATAGCTTGGACCAAGGTCATGCAGTCAGACTCTGCATTCTTGTTCCAGTCATCTGCGGACCCCTGGATCTCACACCACCACCCCTACGACCCGCGGCTCCAATGGACATGCAGGTTGCCTAGAATATTGGGTTCCCTAGTCCCATCCTTTCCAGGGCTCTTCCCAGATAGGCACCTCCTGCCAATGACATCCCAAGCTCTGACCCTGGCTTCCTTTCTTTATTTCTAATCCTCTTTGCATTTCTGCTCCAGCCCACCAGCACCCTTTCAGGCAGTGGTCTCTCATGTCCTCACGACCACCAGGGGACTGTCATCACTACAAATCAGGCCAGTACAAGGGGAATTCAGAAAGTCATCTTTCGATTCCATTTCCCACAAACTTCTTGAAGCCCTTGTGTTTTAAGAAAAAGGAAGGGAAAAGGGCTGGAATCAGCTCTGTCTCCAGCCTCATCATCTGGGGGGAGAGAGACAGCCTCTTTCTGGCTTGACTTTCTCCAGGTATAAGGATGGAGAAGAAGGTTCTAGTCAAGATTATTTATCCTTGGAGAGGAGGTTCAGATGACAGAGAATGGTTCCCCACAGAGGGAAAAGTGGAGGGGAGCTAAGGGGTTCAGCAGGAGGAAGGGGTGGACAGACTTCCAAGAAGGGTCTGGAGTTGGATTGCTACCTGCCCCCCTTCCCTCCCTCAACTTTCTCTCTATCCTCTCCTGCTTTTATCAACTTTTCCATCCCTGCCTCTCCAGCCTTCTGCATCCTCTGAACATTGGCTAGGGTTTACACTGTCACTGTTATTGTTAAGTGCCATCAAGTCAGTTCCGACTCACAATGACTCTGTATAGGGTTTCTGAGGAGCAGCTGCTGAGTTTGAACCGTCGACTTTGTAGTTCAAACCAACCTTGAGGTCCAGTGCTTATCCTACCGCTCCACTCCAGGGCCTATACTAGCTCTGGGAAAACATAAATTAGAAAGTTTCTAGAAGAGGTTTAACCTCACAGGTAGCCCAGGAATCCAGAATTCAAACAATAATAAGATAACTTGGGAAATGTGGTCACATCCTCTCATGAGTGCACCTTTGTCAGCTCAGCTTTTTCATGTCGTGTTAATGCGGTGAACTGCAAAGTCAGTTTGAACCACAAGGTTGGTGGTTCAAGCTCACCAGCTGCTTCTTGGAAACCCTGTACAGGGTTGCTATGGGTTGGAACCGACTCAATGACACTTAACAACAAAGTCTAAAGAAACTGTATTACACTAACAAAACAGAGCACCGATAGCAGAATACCCATATTGCAATCCCCATAACCACTCCATAAAGGAAGAAACTGGGATGTGAAGGTATTTGAGTGATATGCGGTCACACAGTTAGGAAGTCTACAGGCAGCCCAAAGTGCATATCTCTCAGACCACCCAGGGCTGGCCCTGCCACCACATCTAGGATGACTATAGCCCCTCTGGAGATCCTCCGGCCACTCACCGAGACGACGGTCATCACTATGTTGACCACGCCGGCCCCCACTGTGACATACTGGGAATGCTCAGCTTCCACACCCGCTGAGGTGTAGATCATGTCTGCGTAGTAGTTGATCTAAAACAAACATACAGGGGCTGTGGGGAGAAGCCAGAGGTCCAGGCAGGGGCTTTATTCTTCTGACTCAAGCAACAAACAATCCTGGAAGCTTGGATGGGAGCCCCTTGAACAGGAAGGAGGAGGCAGGTTGTGGAGGAAAGGCCACAAACTGGAGTCAGGAGACCTGGAGTGGAAACTGGCCTCTGCGGAGCCTCGGGGGTGGGGGGTGTCTGTACCTATGCAATGGGGACGCTGGACTAGACCATCTGTTGGTATTGTTATCTGCTGATGTTGAGCCGATTCTCGACCCATGGTGCCCCCATGTGCTCTACAGGAGAACTACTCCAGAGGGTTTTCTTAGCTGTACTTTTTATAAAAGACCTGGCCATCCGCTTCCACAAATATCACACTCAAGGAAACCCTAGGGGGCAGTGCTACTGTGAGACATGGGCCCACCATGAGTCAACAGCACCCACACTAACAACCCTATTTACCGGAGCAGTTCAGCAGACTCTCCTCAGTGGAGCTGCTGAGTTAGTTTGAACCACCAGTCTTCAGGTTACCACGCAGTCTCCAAGACCATATCTCCTCGGGTGCTTTGTTTCCGCCATTTCAGTCCTCCTAAAAAGCTTTCTTGACACGCTTTCTGGGCCAAGTCCACTCAAAGCTCAGTTTCTCTTCTGGCCCAGTCCCAAGGATAGTTTCATATTGTTGTTGTTGTTAAGTACCGTTGAGTCAGTTCCAACTCACAGTGACCCTGTATAGGGTTTCTGAGGAGCGACTGGTGAGCTTGAACCGCCGACACTACAGTTCAAACTGACTTTGCAGACCAGTGCATTAATCCACAGCGCCACACCAGGACTCTCTCACACACCCTTCCAAAAGCCGTAAGTGCTGTTCTCTATCCAGGAACTCCTTCATGGGCTGCTGACTTCTCACTCGGTAAACATCCTTGAGTCCTCATAAGCCCAGCTCAAAGGTCTTTCCTGTGATACCAAGTGGTTTACTCCTCAACCTCCTGCATTTCCTGGAAGTGACCCCCTATATTTTTCAGACTTTTCCCCTTTACTCCACACCAGTATCAGATTCAGTTACAACCAAAGCAACCGCGTTCACACAGAGCAATGCCAGCCACTGTTGGTCATGGCTACGTCCGTCGGGAGTGAGTTCTTGGCACAGGCTGGAACAATGACCCACCCTCTCTCTCAGTCTAGTTGGGCTCTTGTGCAGAGAAGGAAGGACTGTTGGCAGGTGGTAAGTTCTCTTGGGGACTGGGAAGCCAAAAAAAAAAAAAAAGCTCTGGAGCAAGAGAAGAGGGTAGTGGGTGAATGGGGAGAGGTGGGCTTGGGAGACAGACAGAACTTGTGGGTTTTGTCATGGCATTCTGCCCCTGCTTCCAGGCTGCTCCAAAACACACCTTCATTTACAGAGCCACCTGGCTACCAGTCACTTGAAAACAATTGTTCTATGCAGTAAAAGATGACCGTCATCACAGCCCTCTACCTGGGACTCTGGCTCATCCACTGAGTTCGCAACTCATCTCTGTTCTTGTTCTTCCTGGATGCAGAGATGAACTCTGCATGCAGAAAGAATGTTAAGGGAGCAGTGGGGATTCAGCCGTAGAGCTCTTGCCTTCCATGCAGGAGATCTGGGTTCAATTCCTGACCAATGCACCTCATGCACAGCCACTACCTGTCTGTCAGCAGAGGCTTGTGTGTTGCTATGATGCTGAGCAAGTTTCAGCAGAGCTTCTAGACTAAGGTGGACAGAGGAAGAAAGGCCTGGCAATCTACTTCTAAAATACCAGCCAATGAAAACTCGATGGATCACAATGGTCTGATCTGCTACAGATTGTGGGAATGGTGCAGAACTGGGCAGGGTTTTGTTCTCTTGTGGATGCGGTTACCATAAATCCACTGCTTACTCAATAGCATGTAACAACCAACACCAACCATATCAGTTCTATCCATGATGTTGTTGTTAGGTGCCATCAATGGATTTCAACTCAGAGCCATCCCACGTGACACAGAACAGCTCCATAGGGATTTCTAGACTGTACTTTCTATAGGGGCAGATCACCCACCAGCTTTCTCCCATGGAACTGCTGGGTAGATTCAAACCATTGACCTTTCAGTTAGCAAGCAGAGCACCTAATTGTTGCACCAACAGGGTGTCTTAAATACTACCCATAATAGTTTGTGAAATGTTCCTTGTGTTTCATTCAATCAAAACTGCCTTCCGGTGGATCCTTGCCAAAGCAGCCTTGTGTACAGAGAGCAGCCCAGGACTAAACCCTCCTCTCACCAACACAAGCCTGTGCTCTGGGCTCAGTGGGCTCAGTGACCACCCCCATGGCCCCACATACCACATTGACCCCAGAGAGCTGCTGGCCAGCCATCAGCACAATGATGGAGATGAGCTGCCACCGCAGAGGCCGAAACGTGAAGAGATTAAGCACAGACAGGTGGCCCTCAGCCTTCTCAGCCTGACCCTCCAGACGCATTTCCTCCATCTCCTCCTCCACATCTGCCCAGCCATGCAGCATCCTCAGGGCTGTGAAAGAGCAGAGAGCATCCCCCAAACAGTCCAGTGTCCCCACAGCTGCTTTAATGGAGGTTATGGACAAGCAAGGACAGCTCTCCTCATCTCTGCCCACCTTTCCACTCAAGGCTCAGTGTGGCCTTCACTCAGTGCTAAGTGCTCACCTGACCCTAACTAGGTCCCAGTGCTGTGACTGATCCCAACCACACAGCACCCCATCCTGATTATACTCTTGGCTCCCAGTCGCAGGCTCCCTCCACCTACCATGAGCCTGTGCCTCCCACAGCCCCCCAGAGCAGGATTGGGGACAGGCAAGCACAGGAGGGGCTCTGACAGAGCAGCCTGTGTCACAAGTACCTTGACGTGCTGTTTCCTCGTCTCCTTTTTGAATCAGGGTGTAGCGGGGGCTCTCAGGGAAGAAGGGCAGGGTCAGGAGTTGAAGCAATGCGGGGATCCCGGTGATAGCCAGGAGCACTGGCCAGCCTGGAAGGAACCAACACCACAGCCTTGGGACCCTGGCCAACCAGGGGACCCCTGAGGCTCCACCAGAAGTCTCTCCTCTTAGAAAGCTGCTCACCTGTGGTGTCTCAGCCCTTGGTGAGAAGTAAGGACAGTAGAGACAGTCCTTGCCAAGATGTGGCTGCCCAGGGCCCACCCACAAAGGGGTTCCACATTAAAGATGAAAAAAAATATAACTGCAAAAAGGATATGGGTTCTAGCGAAAGACATAGGGAGGAGGCAAGAGTTAATGTGAATAGAGGTCAATACTGTTAGTGAAGTAATGTACATGGAAGGATTGCAGTCACCATAATGAAACCAAGTGTATGGTTTGTTAATGTGGGACTGATGATCTGCTCTGTAAATCTTCACTCAATTCACAATAAAAATTTAAAGAAAAAAGAAATGTATATGTGCTCTTCATTTGTTTTGTAAGAAGAGTATTGCTTTTCTTGGAAATAGTGTGTGGGTTGTAAGTTTGAACCCTGGAGAAGCCATGTCGTGTATCAATGTTATGGTTGGAGATGGGAGCAGTCCCTGTGCTGTGACTGTCTGAGATCCTTCTAGAAGGTTTGGATTAAGAAGGAGGTACTGAGATCTGACCAAGAGCACAGATCTGCACATATTACCTCCCCCCACGTGGATGTAAACTGATGGGGAGCGAGCCTCGCTAAGCCTCTTCTGGTTGTTAAGTGCCACCAGTAAAGTAAGTACATTAAGACATGGAAGGGAGTGAGAGAGACCACACTCACCAAGCACAAAATACCAGTTGCCAACAAGTTGACTCTGGCTCCTGGCAAATCTGCGTGTATCAGAGTAGAATTGAGCTCTATAGGGCTTTTTATCTATTTATTTGTGTGTATGTGACACAGTGGGTTAATGCTCTGGACTGCAAAGTTGGTCTGAACTGCAAGGTCAGTGGTTCAAGCTCACCAGCTGCTCCTTGGAAATCCTATGCAGCATCGCTCTGGGTTGGAATTGACTTGATGGCATTTAACAACCACAGCATGTATGCATATGGAGAATTGGTGTGGCGCTGTGAGTTAATGTGCTGGATTGCAGTTAGTTTGAACCACAAGGTCGGTGGTTCAAGCTCACCAGTTGCTCCTCGGAAAGCCTATACAGGGTCACTATGGGTTGGAACCAACTCGAAGGCACTTTACAACAACAACGACAACAACAATGTATGTATATGAAGGAGCTCTGGTAGTATAGTGGTTACGAGTCAGGCTGCTAACCTCAAGGTCAGCAGTTCAAAATTGCCAGCCATTCCTCAGGAGAAAGATGAGGCTTTCTGTTCCTGTAACGATTTACAGCTTCAGAAGTCCTATGCAGGGTTGCTATGAGTCGGAATTGACTCCATGGCACACTACCACCATGTATGTATATGAGAGGCTTTCAAAAAAGTTCATGGAAAGACTCCATTATCTTTTAATTAAAATTTTCCATGAATTTTTTGAAGCTTATTTGTCAAGTACCATAGTCATTTCTGACTCATAGTAACCCTGTGTAAGGTTTCCAAGAAGCAGCTGGTGAGTTTGAACCACTGACCTTGTGATTCAAATCGACCTTGTGGTCTAGTGCTTATCCTACAGTGCTATACCAGGGCTCCTTGAAGCTCATATCTCGCTCTCTATATTTGTTGCTGTTGTTTCTGTCATTGTTAAAGTGCTGTTGAGTTAGTTCTGATGCATAGTGACCCTGTATAAGGTTTCCAAGGAGTGGTTGGTGAGTTTGAACTGCTGACCTTTTGGTTAGCAGCCCAGTGCTTATCTTACAATACCACAATATATAATGGAATTTTTTCATCAACTTTTTGAAGGTCCCTCATATACGTATGTAAGGAGCTCTGGTAGTGTAGTGGTTATGAGTTGGGCTGCTAACCTCAAGGTCAGGAGTTCGAAACTACCAGTGGTTCTGCGGGAGAAAGATGAGGCATTCTGCTCCTGTAAAGATTTACAGCCTCGGAAACCATGTGCAGGGTCATTATGAATCGGAACCGACTCCTTGGTACTTCACAACAACAACAACATATACATATGTACATGTATTTGTTTGGGAGGTGTATATGTATATAATAGAGTCCTGGTGTGGTGCTGTAGAATAAGCACTGGACTGCTAACTGCAAGGTTGGCGGTTCAAACTTATCAGCCGCTCCTCAGAAATCCTATACAGGGTCGTTATGAGTCAGAATCGACTCAAATGGCACTTAACAACAACATATATATTATATACATGTTGTCGATACATGTTGTTGTTAAGTGCTCTTGAGTCGACCCTGTATACGGTTTCCAAGGAGAAGCTGGTGGGATTGAACTGCCAACCTTGTGGTAAGTAGTTAGTAGTCCAGTACTTATCTTACACCTCTATACCAATGCTACACATATGTATGTATATAATCAATAATACATATAGTCAGTATACAAAATAATATATTGTTGTTGTTGTTAAGTGCTGCTGAGCCAGTTTTGACACATAGCACCCTTTATAGGGTTTCTGAGGAGAGGCTGGTGGGTTTGAACCACCAACCTTGTGGTAAGCAGTCCAGTGCTAATCCTATGGCACCATACCAGGATACACATACCACAAAATAAATAAATAAATACATGTTTCTGTTGCGTCGATTCCGCCTCCTAGTGATCCTATAGTAGAATTGCCTCATAGAGTTTCCAAGGTTGTCATCTTTACAGAAACGGACCATTACAACTTTCTCCTGTGGAATGGCTGGTGGGTTTGAATCACCAACCTTTTGGTTAGCAGCCAAGCTCTTCACCAGAGTTCATAGTATATGTATATATGTATGTAGCTATTTCTACATGTTGAGTTGAGTTGCTATTGGGTCATTAACTACTTATGGTGACCCCAGGTGGGCACAGTAGAACTGCTCCATAGGGTTTTCAAGGCTGGGACCTTTTGTAAGATTTCCAGGCCTGTCTTCCAAGGTACCTCTTGAAAGATTTGAATCTCCATGCTTTTGACTAATTGTTGTTGTTGTTGTTAAGTGCCGTCGAGTCGGTTCCGACCCATAGCGACCCTGTACAGGGTTTCCGAGGGTGTAAATCTTTACGGGAGTAGAAAGCCTCATCTTTCTCCCGCGGAGCGGCTGGTAGTTTCGAACCGCTGACCTTAAGGTTCGCAGCCCGATTCGTAACCACTATGCTACCAGAGCTCCTTGACTAATACTCAAGTTTATCCATTTGTACCACTCAGGGACTCAAGAGGGTTTTCAATGACTGATTTTTCAGAAGGAGATCATTAAACTTTTCTTTCTAGGAACCTCGAGATGGATTTGAACCTCTCACTTTTTGGTTAGTAGCTGAGTGTTTAACCACCCAGGGATTCCCGAGCACACACTACTCCATGACTATCATCAGAAACCGGCCAGTCTGGCTTTCCCTCACAACCCTGGGGTTGAAGTCTTTCTCTTTGAGTCGGAGTGTGTCACTGCCAACTGCATGCACCAAAGGGCAGTTTGGGAATCATTATGCCTGATGGTCTTCCACTGGGCACCCACTGGGTTCCAAGGCTTTGAGCCTCCTCAAAGAACTGGGGGGACTGCAAAGACATCGATACCTCCATTAAGGACATTTGTGAAATTGAGGTGATTTGAAAATGTTTGTTAGAAAAAGAAAACACCTATTTTGTTTACAGGGGCCTGCACTCAAGTTCTCCATCCCAGCGTCTTCTCTCATGTGAACCTCGATCTCACAGTAGTTCATACTTTCTTCTGTCTCCTCCTCCTTTCCTGTGTCCCTTGTGGCCTCCCCACCATAATTCCCCTCACTCCCCATCTACAAATACCAGTCTGCCTGCATGTCGGTAACACATCAGTAACACATCACTCCTAGGCCTTAAGCTCTCAGTTGCTAGTTGGATCCCACCCAGCAGCATTATGGGAGAAAGTCTTGGCAACCTGTTTCCATAAAGATGACAGCTTAGAACCCCTACAGGGGCAGTTCTACTCTGTCACATGGGGTCACTATGAGTCAGGATTGACTTGATGGCACCCAACAACAACAACAAAAACAGGGCATTCAAGTGTATGGTTATTTCTGTCAACTAGAAAGAAAAACCCCTTCTCTCTGGACCTCACTGCCCCTCCAGCTACCACCCGCCTTTGTTCCTTCCCTTTATAATCAACCTCCTAAGAGGTGTCTACACTGCCTGTCTCCTCCTCCTCCCATGGGTTCTTGACCCCTCTCCAAGCACATTTTGCCCCATCAGCCCACAAACCTGACCTTGCCAAGATCACCAGTGACCACCATTTGCACAGATTTGATCCCAAGGCCAACCCTCAGCCTTCATCTGGCCTGACCCATCTGCAGCACCGTGCACAGTTGGATGAGAGACTGACCCAGTGCGTGTGTGGCTCTGGTACATGCACCCCATCCCCTGCCCCCAGGTCTCTGTGGGTTGATTACCTGTGGGATTTCCCAGGATGGCCTGCAGGCTGAAGATCTGAGCGAGGAAGATTCCAACGATGACAAAGACCTCGGTCATTGTCCCCAAGGTGCCCCTCAGGTTCTTGGGAGCCAGTTCTCCCAGGTACATTGGAAGGGCACTGTACGATATGCCTAGTTTGGACAAAACACTATCAGAAGAAGAAGATTTTTCCAAATCCTGTGACCCAGAGCCTGAGATTTAATTCAATTCTATCAGCTTCTCCATCAGAAGCCATGGTGGTGCTATAGGATAAGGTTGGTGGTTCAAACCCACCAGTCAGTCAGTGAGAGAAAGAAGGGACTTTTTGTTCCTGTAAAGATTTACAGCCTTGGAAACCTGAGACGAGGTCACTGCGAGTCAGAACCAACTCAATGGCAGTGGGAAGTGGGAGCTTCTCCGAGGGGTTAGTTCTTGCTAGCAGTGTTGTGAATTGAATTGTGTTCACCCTTGAAAAAAAAGCTGTGTTAAAATCCTAACCCCTGTACCTATAATTATGACCCTGTTAGGAATTTTCTTTTATGCTAATGAAGCTATACAAGTATAGCGTGGGTCCTAAAGTAACAAAAAGAACCAAGTGACCCATAATCATCAGTTTAAACTGTACATCCCTCAGTAGATATCTTGTAAAGCCTCATCCTTGTTGTTCCTAAGTGTTGTCAAGCTGGTTCCAACTTATAGAGACCCTGTAGAGGGTTCCTGAGGAATGGCTGGTGGGTTTGAACCATCAACCTTGCAGTTAACAGTCCGGTGCATCTCCTACAGCACCACCCATGGTGAAAGTGTACAGCTGTTTTGTTGTTGTTATTATTTATTGGGCTTAAAATAACAAAGCCAAAAACCCCAAAACTTTTCTCAACAAGTTGATTCCAACTCATGGCAGTCCCATGCATCACAGAGTAGAACTGAGTTCCATAGGGTTTTCTTGGCTATAATTTTTCAGGAAGCATATCACCAGGCCTTTCTTGCTTGGTACTGCTGGGTGGATTCAAACTGCCAACCTTTAGGTTAGTAGTTAAGTGCAAACCATTTGCACCACCTTGTTGTTGTTAAGTGCTGTCAAGTTGGTTCCAACTCATAGTAACTCTGTGTAGAGTTTCCAAGGCTGTAAATCTTTGCAGAAGCAGAAAATCTCATCTTTCTCCAGTGGAGCAGCTGGTGGACTTGAACTGCCAACTTGTGGACTGCAGTGCAGTGTCTATCTTCTAGAGCCACCATGCTCCCTTGTGCCACGTAGGGACCTTTCAAAGGAGCCTTGGTGTTGCTGTAGGCGAACCAAAAGGCCACTGGCTCAAACCTACCAGCCACTCCAAGTACGAAAAATGGGGCAGTCTACTTCTGTAAAGCGGCACAGTCTCAGAAACCCTATATGGGGTCACTATAAGTGGGAATCAACTCCACGGTGTTGGGTAGTTGTTGTTGTTGAGTACCGTCTAGTCAATTCTGACCCATAGTGACCCGGTATAGGGTTTCTGAGTAGCAGCTGGGGAGCTTGAACCACCGACCTTGTAGTTCAAACGGCTTTGCAGTCTGGCGCATTAACCCACAGCGCCACACCAGGAAGTAACGTGAAATTCACCAGGGTCAACTGGCATAACACAGTCCACAAGACAATGCTCTATAACCTGCTTTGATGAATAGCGTCCCGGATCTTAAAAGCTCATGAGTGAGCAACCATGTAAGGTGCAACTATTGGTCTCTCCATGTGTGGAAGAAAGGAGTGTTATGAGAATTGAAGATGCTTGAAAATAATTGGTCCAATGGAACACGTGAACATGACGGCATGATTCTGAGGCCAGAAGAACTAGATGGTGCCTGACTATCTACCACTACCAACTATTCTGAAAGGGATCACATTAGGAGGTCCCAGATAGAGTGGGAGAAAATGTAGGACAAAGCTCCAAATTATATACATATATAAAGAAGACTGGGCTTACTAGTCAGAAAGAGACTGGAGGAACTTGAGACTATGGCCCTTGGCCACCTTTCAGGTCTGTAAAGGACTCACCCTCATGGCCCAATGTTCAGCTAAGATAGGTATTTGTTGTTGTTGTCAAGTGCTGTCGAGTCGATTCCGACCCATAGCGACCCTGTATAGGGTTTCCAAGGAGCAGCTGGTGAGCTTGAACTGGTGAGCCGACCATGCAGTTTTGCAGTCTGGTGCATTAACCTACAGCACCACACCAGGACTCCAAGATAGGTATATAGAGGTGATAAAAACACTAGAAAAGTATGCTTACCATGGAATGGTCAGTCACTTAAAATCAAAGGGGCAACAATTTGCCTGAGGACAAAGTTGAGAAGGGATGGGAAGGCGAGTAGATGGAAATAAGAACCACAGAAAGGGATTGCAATCATTGAGATGAAATGAAGTGTATGTTTTGTTGGACGGAAAACCTTCTCTGTAGACCTTCACTCAATTCACAATAAATAATAATTAATAATAATAACATGAAGTTATTGTTTCTTCTAGTTCCTAGGTTTTCAAATGGTTTGCCTTTGTCTGGTAGTCAAAAAATTAGTGGTTCAAACCTATCCAGCAGCACCAAATGACAGAAGAAAAGGCTTTACTTCTGTAAAGATTGCAGCCAAGAAAACCCTGTGGACCATGGGATTGCCGTGAGTCAGAATCAACTGGACAAAACAACAAAAGCACTATTCTTCCTGATTCTGAACTTGGCCAAGCAGCTGCAGCCCTGAAGTTTCCCACGGGCTCATCATACAGCTGTGAGGAGAGGGTCTGCAGGACTGGGTGTTGCTGGTTGTCTCAATTCTCCATCTCCCCTTTCATCCTCTGGCAAACGAGACCACCTTCTCACATGATTGTCTTAGGACAAGGTTCCAAGAGCCAAAGGTGTGTGTTTCAAGATCCCTTCTGATGAAAGACTTTAAATTAAAGGAAGGCCACACAGTTCCTAAGGCCCAAGGACTGAGACGGGAGGCTGCTCCCAAAGTGGGAAGATCCAGACTGAGCCAGGAGAGCTGAAAGAAGTCCAACTCCCTCCAGTCCCAGTTCCAGCCTTGGCCAACAGGACTGGGGTGTCCATCTAGGCCCCTCCACCAATGTGAACCCGAGTACAGCTTACGTGTCAGCTATTACCCCACATACCTGCACAGATGCCCAGCACCACTCGAGAAAAGATGATCAGCTCAAAAGCCTTAGCCACTTTGCTAACTCCCATGAGGATGGCAGGGACGATGGCAAAGACATTGTTGATCAGAAGGGTCCCTTTTCTGCAACAACAGCAAAATCCAGAGTGCAGGGGGGCTGAGTGGCAGGAGCTCTTTGGGCACCATATTGTCCAAACGCATCATTCAGAGGTGCCAGGAATGTGCCTGAGAAAGGAATTATGGGTGGGGAGAATGGGAAGGCAAGGACGAATGGGGAAGAAGATTTGGGAGGGATGTGTTCTAACAGCACAGGCAGAGGCTAGACTGTGGTCAGAAATGCTAAACGGGATTCCTGCATCAGTGGATAGATAAACTCGATGTCCCTCTCAAGGTGGAGAAATGGAGGTGAGGGTGTGAATGTCTATGCTGGATGTGCCCTCTCTGCCCTGTCTTAGTGATCTACCCCAATTCTCCTTACTGGATGCCCCAATCCTGATTTGCATCAGTGGCTCCCTTGCCCTCCCTCTCGCCTTTGGCTTGGGTTTTGCCAAAGATCACCAGTGGGTCAGGAGGAGGGAAGGGAGTCCCTTTGCTGTGGGCTGCAGTGGTTGGCTGGTCTTCCCATAGTTCTCTTGTTGTTGAGTGCTGACGAGTCAGTTCCGACCCTTAGCGACCCTGTACAGGAGCAGCTGGTGAGCTTGAACCACCGACCTTGCAGTTCAAACAGCTTTTCAGTCTGGCGCATTAACCCACAGTGCCACACCAGAACTCTCATAGCTCTCTTAGCCCCCAGGAACTACTTTCTCCCTCGGCCCCTCCAGGCTGAAGGTGGCAGAGCAGCCCAGTCCGCTGCATCATCCTTTGCTATTCCCCTCTACTGCCCAGACCTGTGTGTGCCACCAGAATCCAACTGATATAGGTACTCCGAGTCAGCTAAACCAGGAGGGTGGGCTCTGGTGTAGAAGCCAGGTGCCTGCTGCTGAATGGGTGCCATGAGTGCTCCCCAGACAATCCACAGGGATCCTATGCACTCCCTGGGGCTGCTGCACCCCTGTGGGAACTCCCAAAAGAGCTCATGCCAGCCCAGAACTCCAGGCCTCCTGACTCCCAGGCTCCCAGCTAGCCTCAGGGAAGCTGGGGCTGTCAGAACTACAAGGACAAGGCCAGCTCTACTGTGCTTCCCTGGACCTCAGGCTCCTTTTTCTGCAAAGTGAGAGGAAATAAGACTAGTCTGAGCTATAGGATAAACACCGAACTGCTAATTACAAGGTTGGTGGTTCAAACCCACCAGGTGTTCCTCAGAAATACTATACAGGGTCGCTATGAGTCAGAACTGACTTGATGGCACTTAACAACAACAACAATTAAGGTTCCTTGGTGGCAGAAGTTCTGTGGCTGTGGGGTTCAAGCAGGACAGTGGAGGCCAAGCCTGGGCTTCAAGAACTTCGGACACTCCAAATGGCCTGAGAGCAGCACAGCCCAAACTACTAAAAAGCCTGAATTATAATTACAGCATATTGGAAGTTTTCTTCATTCAAGTACATATATATGAGTAGTCTGGCAAATTAACTGTGAAGTAGTTAGAAAATAAATGCTGTATATTATATTATGTGCTTCAATATAGAAATCTCAGTTATAATTGTTTCTTTTGTGGATGAAATGGAATGTGCTGAGATTCTTTAAAAGTTGGTTTTCTTTAGAGAGTTTCCCACTCCTTCCTACAAATTGCCTGACTTGGTGCATCCAAGTCCAAGTGTGACTATGAATTCAGAATGAGTGGGGCCTGGATGAAGGACACCCCTGAGCAGAGCCCAGTGACCTGGGCTCACACTTTTCCTTCCTGGGTACCTTGCCCTGTGCGCTTGTCCTTCCTTATCTGTGGAGTCACGCCTTTGGAGTACCTGGGCTTAAGCATGAAGCTTAGTGGATCCGTGGAAGCAAAGCAAAGTACAGAGGACCGTTCCTCATTTCCAACCAAGATATGGAACGGTGAGTGGCACATGGAGTGACTCAGCCTGAACCCCAAACCTCAGGACAACAGAACTCTGATGAGCCCACCTAGGGAGTGGCTGCTGCTTTTGCAACCTGGAGTCCAGAGCACCTGACCTTGAAACCAAGCCCAATCACAAAGCATTTATTGAACACCTGCTAGAAGTGCTTACAAGGCACTATGCTGAATACCATTAAGAACTTTGATCACAAGGGTTATACCATCTGTGGTGGTGGTGGTGGTGGTGGTGTGCAGTGTGGAATTGATTCCAACTCATAGCGACCCTGCATAGGGTTTCTGAGGCTGTAAATCTTTATGGGACCAAAAAGCCTCATCTTTCTCCCATGGAGTGGCTGATAGATTTGAACTGCTGACCTTTTGGCTAGCAGCTCAGCTCGTAATCCACTAGGCTACCAGAGCTCCTTACACCACCTGTATGGAGTAGATAACGGGAAAGAATGTATTCCCATGCTGTTGCTGCTAGCTGCCATTGAGTCTCCCTGACTCATGGATCAGACCATTATCATCTTACTGGGTTCTCATCAGCTGATTTTCAGAAATAGATAACCAGGCCTTTCTTCCTAGTCTGTTTTAGTCTGGAAGCTCTGCTGAAACCGGTTCACCATCATAGTATCACACAAGCCTCGATGATTGGCAGGTGGCAACACCTGAGGTGCATTGGCTGGGACTTGAACCCAGGTCTCCCATATGGAAGAGGAACCACCACTGCCCTCACATGCAACTGATCGGGGAAAGAAATCCCAGAGGTATTCAGGGACTTGCTTTAAGGTCACATGATGTCACGACCATGTTTGGACTATGATTTTCATACCCCTGATCTTCAAGTTTGCACCATCTCCCTACCTTGTGCCTTGCCAGTCACCAAGAGGAGGTGCGTATACTAACATTGAGTGTTAAAGGAGAAGCGTGCCTTCTGCTTGCTTACCTGCCGCACTTATCCACCAGCAGGCCAACGATCAGAGACCCCAACAAGCCGCCCAGAGGAAACATGGACACGGTGCAAGACCACAGGAGCAGCATGGCCTTGTCATCCAGGAAAGTCCCATGCCGATTGAAGTAGGTTTCATTATAAAATGACTTCAAGACCTAGAAAACATCATCCCGTTCCCAGCAAAGCGTACTGTATGACTCACTGTACGGAGGGATGGGCTGCCGATACCCCCAGGACACAATTGAACCAGCTGTTTCTCAGGTTACTGAGTTTGATGACAGAAATGAGCAGCTAGATTACATGAAATCCTTTTTGATCTGTTAAAGAGCTCACTTTTCAGAGGATCAGCACTGGACTGCTAACCAAAAGGTTGGTGGTTCAAATTCAACAGCTGCCCCTCAGAAACCCTATGCAGGGTTGTTATGAGTCAAAACCGACTCAGTGGCACTTAACAATAACCCTTCAAAAAGGAACCTGAGAAATAATCTTTCTAATAGTGTGACTTTGGGAAAAATGTAATTTATATAATCTCTATAGTTCGTTTTCTCATTGGTTATAGTAATGATCTGCGTACATCCCTACAGATAGCATCATGGAATGTGCGTGGGCATTGAATGTGATAATGTGATGGTGCACTGCTTGATGAAGAAAAGATGTTTTATCAATGGTCATAATTTGTTGTTTCTGTTGTTAAGTGCTGTTGAGTCAGTTCTGACATATAGCCACCTGTATAGGGTTTCTAAGTAGTGGCTGGTGGGTTTGAACCTCCAACCTTGTGGTTAGAAGTCCAGTGCTTAGTTTACAGCACCACACTAGGACTAATAATTATAAGTGTATAAATATACACAGTGGAGTCCTGGTGTGGCGCTGTAAGCTCCTCATAAGGTCGGGGGTTCAAACCCACCAATCACTCTTCAGAAACCCTATACAGGTCTCTATGAGTCAGAACTGACTCGATGGCACTCACATCAACAAATACACAGCATGGGCTATAGTACCTCCTATAACAGCTGGGAGTCCTGGTATGGTGCTGTGTGATGAAGCACTGGTCTGCAAGGTCGGTTTGAACTACAAGGTTGGCGATTCAAACTCACCAGCCGCTCCTTGGAACCCCATACCTCGCTCTGAGTCGGAACCAACTCGATGGCATTTAACAGCAATAGCTGCTGACTGACTAAAGTGTAGCTCGAAACTAAAAGACATTGTTTTGTTTTGTTTTTAATTCAGAAGAATTTGCATAAGCAAATGAATGGCAATTGTACCTGCTCTCCTCTGAAGGATCCTCCCTCCTCTGGCTCTTTCAGGGACTTCCTGCTTGAAACTGTCCCCTCTCTGTCCTATATCACTGGTCCTTCTCTGGCCTTCTGATCACTACACAAACACCTCTCCTGCCCTATTAAAACTTAAGTCAGCTCTCTCATCTTGCTCCAGTTTGCTGTTGCTGTTCGTTGGTCAACTCTTGGCTCATGGTGAGTTATGTGTGACAGAATGAAACATTGGGGGTTCTTTGCTGTCTTTATGATTGTTGGTTTGTCTGAGTGCATTGTTTTGGCTGCTGTATCTGGTCATCTCGTTGTGGATTTTTCTTGTTTTTGATGACCCTCTGCTTTACCAATCAGGACGTCCTTTTCTAGCGATTGGTCTTTCCTGATGACGTGTCTGAGGTAAGCAAGTTGAAATCTTGCTTCTGAGGAACATTCTGGTTACATTTCTTCTCAGGCTGACTTGTCAGTTCAAATCCCTTCCCTCCCAGGTAACCTCGACTTCATCTGGCCCATTCTCTCTTGAACTTTCTCCAATCACACTTTTGTCTCCAATTCTCACCTCAGCTGCTCTTGTCGAGGTCACCCACACCCTCCGCAAGTCAGTCAGTCATCAGTTCTTAGTCCTCATCTTTACTCTCTCTTACCCCTTGACTCACAGTCTTGGGGACAGACACCCTGTCCTTGGTCTCCCACACATGACAATGGCCCCTTCTCTGCTTCCTTTGTTTCCCGTCTCCTCAGTCTCAAGACTTAAATTCCCCAGGGGTCAATGTTTGCTTGACTCCTTCTCTTTGGCTTCTTTCAGTGATCTTCCCAAGGGAAGGGCAGCAGAATTGAGGGTCAAAGTGACTGAGTAAGGAATCCGGGTCCCCCTGGCATCTCATTGTTCCTGGAGAGGGTGATACTCCCTGTGAGCACACCTCCAGTCACCTCCTGGTCTCCAGAAGCAGACATCTAGAAGAGGCCTGAGGATGCTGCAGGGAGAGGATGGGAAATAGAAGCCTCCAGAAGGAAGATGGAAGCTTCCATCGGAAAGACAGCGACTTCCGCAGAGAAAGATGACGTGGCCTTCCTGCCTTGCAGACCCAATTCAGCTGCCCACCAACGTATGTTGTACTCACCTTGTGTGGCGTGTTGACCACGGAGATGTTGTAGCCGTACTGGAAGGCAGAGCCAAAGGCCGCACTCAGTGTTGCCAGAACTAGCGTGGGCTGGAGTCGCTGTGGAAGTCGAGGGCTGTGTTCAGGCCTGGCTACAGGTTTCCCAGAAATGGGGCCATAGCTGGGCCTCCATTTTCTTCCAGATCAGACAGTAAGTGGGGTGAAGGGAAGCCCAGGCTATACCCAGAGAAGGTGGAGGAAATGGCTTGGCAGAAAAAGTGGCCCAAGGCTGGGGCCCTCAGGGCTCTGTGGGATCTGGGATCCTGTTTCTCTGAGCATGCATTCATTCCTTCCTTGATGATATAGTTGAGCACCTACTTTGTTCCTGGCTTTGTGCTAGGGAATGCCACAGGAAGAGGTTGAGGAAAACACTCTCCTCATGGATTTTAGATTCTAGGGAAGGCCAAAAGGAAAAAGACAAACAAATAAAATAATCCCAAATAGTGATCATGTTATAGAGACAATAAAACAAGGAATAGAATAGAAACCAAAGGTGGGGGGATGTGTGGGCATTTTCAGCAGGTTGGACAGGGAAGGCCTCTTGGGGAGATGTCCTTTGAGCTGAGACATAAATGAACAGAAGAAGTTAGCTATGTGGAGGGTTTGGGGAAAGAAAGTTCTAACAGAACTACAGAAAGCAGCCCTGAGGCAAGAGGCCACACATAACTTGTCTTTCCCTCAGAAGAGGCCAGCTGGAAAACCTATCAAAGCAGCTCTGAGCTCACAGAAACATACTTCACTGACTACCAAAACATACGGAGCCCAGGAGGGAGTGGAACGGCAGGACTGAGACGAGCTGGTGCAGCCCATGTCCTGGACGCCACCCCCTAACCTCTACTCCTTTCCCTGTTATAACTGTGTATCCCACTCCTACCACACACCAACCTCCACTGCACTCACCCATCCACACCCACCTATGCCCTCATCCCTCTATCCCTTAGCCCACAACACACAACTCTCGCCTCAGCCTACCCACAGCCCACTCCCACCATACCCTCACCTCCACTATTCTGACCATATCCATTCTCACTAGACCCACACCTTCACCCCAACCCTCACCCCACCTCCAACCTAGATGCTCACCCAATCCACACCTTCATCCCATCACACCCCTGTTCATTCTCACCACCACATCGTCGCCTCCACGTCCCACGCACCCCTAGCCTCACCATACCCTCACTGCCAGGAATTCAGTAGTTGCGTGCTGCCTTCAGCCCTAAGTGGGGCTGGGAACTTCAGATACCAAATAGAGAAGGGTACTATTTGAGAATCTTCAGAGAAGACCTCTGAAGTAGGGTTGGGGGAGCACAACTTGTCCAGGGCAGGCCTTCACACCCTCCGTGTGCCTGAACTGTGATGAATGGGAGGCACACTGCCCTCCTGCTGCACCCACCCCCGAGAGCTGGTACTCCCAGGAAGGACAGGGCCAGGAGGCTGCCCCTCCTTGTCAGAAGCCACCCAGCAGCCCTCCTCTCTATCCACGAAGCTCCCTGTCTGGTGGGACAGGGACAATGGTGGTGACTGTTCGCTGGCACTCACCCCCTCCCTGGGAGAGGCAGGCTTCGGAGGCCCTGTCTCTTTGTTTTCCATCCTTGTTCAGGTAGGAGGCAGGTACGTTCTGCCTTCCAGGTCCAGGCGAGTGGGCGCTGACCATGGCAGAACTAGTTAACTCTCTCCTGGGATGTGTGAATTTATTGCCCTGTGGCCTCTGGACTGGGCAGACTTTCCCCAAGAGCCTGTTTTCCTTGGACGTGTTGATAAGATAAGCAATGGTGTTTAGCCAGTGACAATTGGACAGCTTGGATTTTATCTAAACTACAAACCCAAGTTCCCCCATTGCATCCAACGCTGCTGTTATCAGTCAATCCCAACTCCTAACGACCCATGTATTACAAAACAGAACTTCTCCTTGGGATTTTCTTGGTGGTAATCTCGGAAATCCTGTACAGGGTCGCTAGGGGTCGGAACTGACTTGATGGCACTTAACAACAATCCCTTGTAGTGCAGTGGGTTAAGCACTGGGCTGCTAACCAAAAGGTCACTGATTCGAACCGGTTGTTCCTCAGGAGATGAGGCAGTCTACTTCCATAAAGATTTACAGCCTCTGAAACCCTGAGGAGCAGTTCTACGCTGCCCTATAGGGTCACTGTGAGTCCGAACTGACTCGAACACAGAGTTGAATCTTTACAGAAGCAGATTGCCAGGTCTTTCTTCCATGGAACCACTGAGTGGGCTTAAACTGCCAACCTTTAGGTTAGTAGTTGTTAGGTGCCACTGAGTCAAGACCTACTCATAGCAACCTTAAGCACAACAGAATGAAACACTGCCTGGTCCTGTGCCAAACTCACAATCGTTGCTATACTTGAGCCCATTGCTGCTGCCACTGTGCCAATCCATCTAATGGGGGTTCTTTCTCTTTTTTGCTGACCCTCCACTTTACTAAGCATGATGTCCTTCTCCAGGGACTGGTCCCTCCTGATAATAAGTCTGATGTATGAGATACAAAGTCTGACCATCTTGGCTTTTAAGGAGCATTCTGGCTGTACTTCTTCCAACACAGATTTGTTTGTTCTTTTGTTAGTTCATGGTACTTTTAATATTCTCCTCCAGTACCATAGTTCAAATGCATCAATTTTTCTATGGTCTTCCTTACTCACTGTCCAGCTTTCGCATGCATATGAGGTTATTGAAAATACCATGGCTTGGGTCAGGTGCACCTTAGTCCTCAAACTGACATCTTTGCTATTGAACACTTTACAGAAGTCTTGTGCAGCAAATTTACCCAATGCAATATGTCATTTGCTTTCTTGACTGCTGCTTCCATGAATGCTGATGGTTGATGTGAGCAAAATGAAGTCTTTGACAACTTCTATCTTTTCTTCATTTATATGGATGTTGTTTATTGTTCCATTGGTAAAGAATTTTGTTTTCTTTACATGGAGGTGCAACCCATACCAAAGGCTGTGGTCTTTAGTTTTCATCAGTAAATATTTTAAGTCCTCTTCTCTGTCACCAAGCAAGGTTATATCATCTGCATATTGTAGGTTGTTAATAAGTCTTCCTCCAATCCTGATGCCACATTTTTCTTCAAATAATGCAACTTCTTAAATTATTTGCTCAGTGTACAGATTGAATAAGCATGGTGAAAGAATAAAACCCCAGTGCACACCTTTCTAATTTTAAACCATTCAGTGCTTCCTTGTCTGTTCAAACAACTGCTTCATGGTACAGGTTCCTCATGAGTACAATGAAATGTTCTGGAATACTCATTCTCGGCAACATTGTCCATAGCTTGTCATAATCCACATAGTCAAAAGCCTTTGCGTAGTCAATAAAACACAGGTAAACATCTTTCTGGTATTCTCTGCTTTCAGCCAAGATCCAACTGACATCAGCAATGATATCCCTCATTATGTGTCCTCTTCTGAATTAGGCTTGAATGTACTGTTGTAGCCATTTTTGAATTATCTTCAGCAAAATTCTAATTTCATGCTATATTAATGATATTGCCTGATGATTTCCATATTCCGTGGGTCACCTCTTTTTGTAATGGGCACAAATACCGATGTCTTCCAACCAGTTGGTCAGGTAGCTGTCCTCTAAATATCTTGGCATAGATCAGGGGTAGGGAATATCTGGCTCGTAGGCTGTATGTTGTTTTTGTTAAGTGCTGTCGAGTTGGTTCCGAACCATAGCGACCCCGAACAGGGTTTCCAAGGCTGTAAATCTTTACGGGAGCAGAAAGCCTCACCTTTCTCCCACAGAGCAGCTGGTAGTTTTGAACTGCTGACCTTATGGTTCGCAGCCCGATTCATAACCACTATGCTACCAGAGCTCCTTGTATAAGGCCCATGAAATAATTTGGTCTGGTCCTGCCAAGTCAACGTCAGGAGGGATTTGGAATTCAATAAATCCAGGAGCTTTTTTCATAGCAACATAAATTTATATTTAGTGACTCATAATAACGTAAATTTTGAGGGACAAGAAAGGAGCATCCATTACAGGATAGGCAGGACACATGCGAGTACATGATGGGATAGACATGTATGTTTCTTGTTGGCTGCGCATGGCTCATCTGCCTGTGTTACAGTGATTCAGAGGACAGTCAGTGGCAGCCAGGTTGGGAGTGTACACGTTGGGAAAGTGTTAACATACTGTGGGGAAACTACAGCAATCTGGTGAGAGGAGATGCGATGAGATGATTCGTCACAACGTCCATGCCCTCGCCTCCGATGATTGACGACGATGTTGCTGACTCTTTTGTCAACACAGAGGATAACTCCAATCCAGTCTTTATCCACACGTCCTCCATCACCAACCCTTGCAAAAATGGAATCTCAGATGAAGAATAAGGAAATGACTTCAAGAATCGATGATACTACCCTCACGAAAATCGATGCAAAAATTCTCAACAAGTCAACCCTCAGGCGCAGCGCTTAATGCGTGCGAGCTACGGAGCCTGGCGCCTGTTGGGCCTCAGAACGAACGCGTGTCGCGTGGCTGAATTGCGTTTCTGTCCGCCGAGAAGACGTTTTCAAGCCTCCGTGGCCATAACTGTAGTGACTTTTGCGATCGGAGGCGGCGGGACACCGTGAGGCTCTTTTCGGAGAGCTGCTTGGCAGATTCTGAGGAAAAAGAGTTGAAGGTTTACCTTCAACAGTAGATGACCAAGCAGTTTCACAAATCAACCCTCCTGAAAATTTTTTAAAAAGAAATAGACCCAACCCAGTGAAGTGGAGTTTATCCTGTTGCACAAAAAAGATGTCTACTGGCTCCAGTGAGAATGATGTGATAAGAACTCGGATACCTACTTATGATGATGATAATACTGTCCTTTATGCATTCGAACCAAACATTGCATTTTTCCATAAGCAGGCCAATATTGTCCCTGGGACACCCACAGATGAAGATAAGGAAAAAACAGTTAAGGATGTTCTTACCCACTGCCAGGTCATACATGATGCTATTCAAAACCTGGATAAGAAGTTTGATGTGATTCATGGAAAGGTTTCAAAAATCCAACGCCATCGTTCAAAATCATTTTGGCAGCATCGTAAGAAACCATTGGGATACAAACATCACAGCCACCTGCATCCTAAAAAGAACAAATACCAGAAACCCAAGAAGGGATCTCTTCCTGAATTCGAGCACCCTGAAAGTTATAGCCCGACTTTACCCGTGTCAAGACGAGGAAGTGATTGTCAGCCCAACTATTCAGATTTAGACAGTGACCCTGAATTGGAGCAGCGACTTTTCAATGATCAGGAAAGAGACTTCAGCCAGAGTCCAACGACTACGTCTGCCCTTCCTGAAGAGCCACGTCACTTTTATTATACACAAGATGATCCTGGTCCTTCCTCAAGGCCCTGCTATTCCAGCCCAAGGGCTACCAGCACCGCCAGTGTAAGTCTCTTCTCACCTACCTCACCTGATGACAACACAGTACCTGAGTTGGTGCTAAGCCAAAGTGAACCCGACCAGCAAAATGATCCTGAGGAAGCGCATTATCCAGATTTGCTGGCGAATAAGAACATTAGCCACCGTACTCTCTGCATCCCTTCTGCTTTGGTTACTTCACCAGCACCATCTGACTTCAGTGGATGGAAACAAACCTTCTATAAGGATCCTTCAAATTGGACTGTGGAGGATGTGATGCAGTTTGTGAAACAAATAGACCCTCAGATGGCACTCTCCCTCACCGACATCTTCAGACAATGTGAGATTGATGGCAGGGCTCTGCTGCTCCTGAGGAGTGATGCAATGATGAAGTACATGGGGCTAAATCTGGGGACCACCGTGAAACTCTGCCACTACATTGAGAGACTTAGGCAAGACAATTACCTCAACAGCTGAAACACGGTGAAAACGTCGACTGGACTTGTTTAAGGTTTACTTCTTGGTGTGAAATCCTTCATGCTGCATAAGCAGTTTTTAGTTTCTTGAAGGTTCCTTTAAATATGTCATACCTTGAATTGCATGTCTACCTTACAGTCCAGTCTACTTACTTAAGAACCAGTAAACAGGTTAGCACTGAAGTATGTTAAATTACTAATTGTGTCTTTTTTTTTAAAAAAATTACTTTCAGTTGTTCTGTCTACAAACATACTCCATGCACGAATTAAATCCATGCGGTTTTTTGTTGTTGTTTTTTTTTTCCTTAGAAGAAAATTTAACAGTGCAACTCTAGATATCATCTCTTCTTTGAATTGTTTGTCTGTTACTGCAATGTTTTGCTCATATTCTACCATTTTAAACTCTTTTCTTTCCTGTTATTATTTTTCTGTATGTTATTATTGTTTTCAATTTAAAACAAATTTAAATTTTAAGAAAAACTTCAAAGATCTAAAGGGAAAAAAAGCAAGCTTATAAATTTCCACAAAGTGTTCTTACCAGTTTTATGATAAATTATACAATAAGTTTTAGGCTTTATAGAAAGTAATTTCATGCAGAAGATACTATACTTCAAGGGTGGTTTAGATGGAGTCTGACTATATATATTCTTTTCAGTGACATACGTCTAATTTTAAAACATTCCATATGTTGGGTAAACTTGGATATATAGCTAGGCATGTATTGTGCACATCTCTATG